CATCAACCTGCCCTGGTCACTCCCACTGAGGGGGAAACTTAACCCCAGGAGCCCTGCTCTGTGTGGGAGACCGGCCACTCTCCCAACTGTGGCCAACGAAAGCTGGCCAGCACCCAGGTCCAGTTTGGCAGATTAGGCAGACCAGTGAGCGGGTGGGGAGGGCAGCAGTAGGCCAGCGCGTCTCCACCCCCGCCAGGTGTGTGCCCAGCTGGACCTCCAATCAGCCTGCCTGGTCAGTAGGCTCCAGAGGGAAGCAGGCCTGTGGGAAGAGGGCCTGAGGGATGGCTGCCTCATCAAGGCATCGTTGGGGCAGCAGAGGCAGCCCAAGGCAGGGCGAGGGTTTCCCCATGCCCAGCGAGACACACACTGGCAGAGGGGCCAGAATTTGGGGGGCTATCCCTGGATCCATCCTCCTCCAGCACCAGTCCTGCTCCCCACTCTGGAAATCCAGGCCTCCCGGTCCCCAACCCCAACCCCAACCCGGGCCTTCTCCCTCCTGTCCCGCACTTCCCATGCCCTCCACCTCCGTTCCCACAGTCCCCCAGCCCAGCAAAAGTGTGACTCACCTGACCTCTCACGGCCTAAAGAACTGGTCCAGATGACTGTACAGGCCTGGACACAAATAGTCATCCAGAAAAGGTTTGAAAGGGATCTGGGGTCAATATAATAACCCTCATGAGACTCAACAATTACTCAACAAAGGCTAGCCAGGTGGTCTCCAGCTCAGAGAACAGAGATGCACGCTGCAGCAGGCACAGTGCATTCCTTTGCAGTTACCTTTACGAAGCGCCTACTGTGTGCTAGGCCTTCTGCTGGGCACTGGGGAGGCAGGCGGCCGCTGAAACAAGATCAAGGAGGTTTCAGTTCCAGTTAAATCCGTTCTCCTGGTGCGTTTGTGAACAAGGTGGCTGTGGGATTCCCTCCTTTCCCACTCCCTCTTCCCGATTAGACAAAGGGCTTTAGCGTCAGAACCAGCGCCAACTGCTAGCTGGTGACCTTGGGCAAGCCTCACCTCTGTGCCTCATGTGTGCAGTGAGGATAAAGGACCCCAGGCTCTCATGCCTGGTGTGAGGGCTGCTGCTGCGGTCCTTTTCATTTCCATGGGACAGAGATGGGAAAGCCTCGGGGAGCCCAGAGCAGCCCTCCTCCCCCCACCTGCACACCCAGGAGGGCAGAGATGATCTCAGGCCCCTGAGCCAGACACCATTTTTACACGGTGAGAGCCGGGCTCAAAGCCAGAGTGCAGTCAAGGAATCAGATAAAAACTGCATTTCTCATTGGGAACCTGCTCCCGGCCTGTTCTCTCTCCCTGGCAGTGACGAGGTGGCTCTGGGGCCCTCCATCCCTCTCCCCCCTACCCTCCCACACCCTCCCAGGAAGCTGGGCTTGGGCTGCGTGGGTGTCCTTGGGCTCAAGGCCCCCCCTTCCTGCTGCATCCGTCTCCTGATGGCTGTGTCTTCTGTCTCCAACCAAGGCAAATTCCGGGAGCAGTTCAAAGCTGCCTTCTCCTGCTGCCTGCCCAGCCTGGGTCCCTGCGGCTCTCTGAGGACCCCCAGCCCCCGCTCCTCTGCCAGGCACAAATCCTTGTCCTTGCAGAGCCGATGTTCCGTCTCCAAAGTCTCAGAGCACGTGGTGGTCACCAGCGTCACCACAGTGCTGCCCTGAGCGAGGCCACCCACCCTGGTGGCTCCAGGGGGTGCAGCCCGTTCCCCACCTGGACTGCTCCTCTGGCTCCCAGGGGATCGGCCCTGACTGCTTGTGGACACAGCGTGCGGCCAGGACTCCAGTCCTGGTTTTCTACCTGTTTGACTCTGAGCAAGCGACACCCCTCCTCTGAGCTGTGTCCCCTAAACAGGATTGATGCGAGGATTAAGCATGCTCAAGAAAGTGGAACGTGCTCTGTAAATTGTGGTGCCGTGGACAGGATCACCATTGCATTCCTCTCACTCGGCTGTCCCTCACAGCACCATCGGTCCTCAGCACCCTTCCAGAGCTTGGCCTTCCTCCCAAAGACCCCCCTCCTCCCTGACTGCAGGCCTTCCCTAGAGTCTGCTGGGAGGGCCCAGTAACCTTTCCATCCTGCCCAGCGACTCCCTAAGCCCAGGCTGCACTCGGCCAGCCCTGCTCCGCTGCCCGCCTGACCGAACCGGCCCAGCCCTCCCCAGCAGGAACACAGCCTCCCCCCCCCACCCCCCAGGTGCCGAGTGCACACACCAGACTGGATCCTTCGGCTCTGTGGTGTGATAAAACGCTCTTCATGTGACCATGTGGCGTGGAGGCCAGCAGCCCAAAGCAATTGTAATTAAAAGCCTGGCACTGAATGTTCCCTTTCCTTGTCATTGCACAAAATCTGTGCCTCTTAAGTTAAAAGCAAGAAAGGTGGGGAAGATGGGGGTAGGGAGAGAGGACGAGGCGGCAGGGAATGCTATCTGCTGACTATTCCCACCTCCATCCCCCAACATTGCCAGGCTTCCGAGCACACACGGTGCTGCTTCCTCAGGCAGTGCCCCGTCTGAGGCCAGGACCCCAACCCTTGACGTGCCTGTCCGCTCATGGGCCCGGGGGGCTATGGGAGGGAAGGGGGGGCAGACAGCAGAGCGAACAGACTGACTTCCCATTATCATCGCCTTCTGGGCATCAGGGCTTTGTTTATTCAGTAGGACTCACAGGATAAAGGGAAAGCCACAGACTTGGCTGGACGTGCTCTGCCTGCCACCAGGATGATTAGAGGGCTGCCAGGGGCCCTGCGCCTGCTGCCGGGGGCAGGAGGTGGAGCACAGGCTGAAGCACTGCTCTGCAGAGCGGGAGGCACCTGGCAGAGGCTGCCGGGCCATGTGCACTGCTGGGTGTGCGTAACCTGATTAAAGAAGCCACAGCCTCCCTCTGACCTCACCATCAGGAAGTGGGGCAAAGCCATGGTCTTGCCAGGGCCCCGCCCAGGAAGCACCCCTCCTCGTTGGCATCACCAGGCATGTCGGTCCACATCACCAGGTGTGGGCCGTCACACTACTCTCTAGATGACTCACCCGCCCTGCACATCGTGGACATTCCCACAGACGTGCAGGGTGGTCAGCGGGGCTGGGCTGGCCTGCCCATTTTACACTCTTCTTGGCCTCAGGGTCCAGAGCTGTTGGTCAAGCTTGTAACCAGGCTTGGAAGTGCAGTGTGCAGAATGAGGTGAGGGCTGCCCCAGACTCACAACCAACTGTGCCAACCTCGGTCCTGGGCTCCTCAGCCCTCGCTGAGCACAAGGCCGATCTGACTGGCATCGTTCTAAAGTGGGTTTCAGTAGACACTTGGCTCAGTGGGGACAAAGAAACAACAGAAGCTCCCCCTACTCTCTGCTGGCTGAACCCAGTGCCATGTGAGCCTTAGGCCTCCATGGGGGGGACCCACACGAACTGGAGAAAATTCAGGGCACATGACCAGAATGACAAGGGGAGAGATGCTCGGTGAAAAGCTGCCGAAGAGCCCAGGACTTGGAGGGAACATGCGGCAGATTCCAGGCTCTGGAGGGTTGGCATGCACTGAACTATCACTGGAGGTTGGCAAGCAGAGGCTGGACTCACATGGGCCATGAGGGGCTTGAGCTCTGGATGGTGGCTGGCCTCTGGCAATGCATCTGATTCTACAACTCTAGTCTACAGAGAATGGAACTGAACTGCCCAGTCCGACATACCTGCTGGGCCTCACTGAGCTGCCAACAGCCACAGCTCCTTCCCCCCAACCATCCACTGCAGAGAGGAGAGCCCTGCCTAGGGTTTGGGAGCTCTTTTCTTCATCCCCCAAAGCAAAAGGATCGTCCCATCATCAGCCACGGTAAGGTCCCCCAGGCAAACCAGGTGTCTGGTGTTTGGACTGAAATTTTGTCAGCTCACCATGGACGTTCAGTGTAGACTGGTTATCATGCTGATCGGAAGAGCCAGCAGACAAGTACTGCTGTCTGTGCTTAATAAACACGGGGGGAAAGTTATGGCTTAATAAATGCAGTTTGTCTGGAGGATAAAACCAGGGAGAGCTTGAGATAATAAAAAAAAAAAAAAAGGCCAGGCTGTAAAGTTTGGAGTGGCTGCGTCCTGCTCAGAATGCCAGCTCTAAAACAGTTATAAAACACATAATTGGCCTCTTGAGCTGAGTCCAGCCCCCTACCCTTCAACTTCACCCTGGAAAATGACAGCAGCCTCGTGTAGACGATGCCTCCTCCGCTGCTGCTTTCTGAGCGGCGCGGCACACAGTGGATACTTAAATCGTTGTTGAATGAAAGGATAACTGAGTGACTGAACAGATGAGCACATAAATCCGTACCTGGGAAGGCAGAGTGGAAAATGTGGAACAGAGTTCATCCTTTTATTGAAGCTTACAGTTTCACTGAACTTTTGGCTCCGAGTGGAAAGGGCATTGGCAGAGGGAGGAGGCAACTGTCCCCTGGGGACAAGTGGTGGGCAAGTGAGGGGTCCGAGCTAGGGAGTGCAGCAGCCTTGCCCAACATGCGCAGAGAGCAGACTGCCCAAGCTCCTGAGCAGGGACAGCCCCGGGTGGCTAGGAGTTGACACACACGGATGTGGGCATGGGGGTGATGGAACGCCAGCCCCTGGTCCCTCTCTTCTATGCTTGGTCAGTTCCACTTTGGAGAAACTGGCTTCATTTGAAAGGACAGAATGGGCGCGGGGAGACAGGTGCTCATAGTAAAACACTGATGAACACTTACATCGGGGCACAGAAGGGGAAGAGAGGCTGGAGTCCAGCCGATCATATGACTGGCATCTCCTGCTCCTGCTGCACGGCTATGCTCAGGACTGAAAGGACATACACCTTCCAGTCCTCTCCTACATCAAGCCCAGGGCCCACTATTTCGTGGCTATGACACAGGGGTCCCAGCCCTCTTGGCGAAATCACTGGAGGAGGAGGAGCAGGAAAAGGAGAGCGGCCCACATGCTTCTCCCACTCCAAAGAGCCAGGAGAGGCGCCCAGTGCACACCGCTCTCTACAGACGGGCTGGGTCAGAGCATCCTAGAAGCTGTCATGGTGACGAAGTCCTCGAAGCTGAGCCGGACGTTGCCCTGCATGGCCGTGTCCTTCTCCCGGAAGGCCTCGGTGAGCACCTGCAGCTGCGTGCACACCTGGATGAAGCGGTCCAGCTGCATGGCGGGGCTGGCGGAGCGCGGGCAGTAGCGGGAGACCAGGAGCTGGCTGAACTGGGGGCTCAGGTTGTAGCCCATCTGGGACAGAGCTGGAGAGGAGGGGTACACAGAGCAGACACAAAACCCATCGTGAGCACTGCCATCCACCAGCTCCAGAGCACAACACTTCAGGGGACTTGTGGGATCAAGCACCGGAGGAGGAAGAGGACAGAAGTCCCAAGGGTCTGTCCATGGTGGCAGCAGCACAACAGGGGCTCTGCCTGGATGCCCCCCTTTCTCTAAATCTCCATTACGATCTGTAAGCCAGGGGCTCCTGGGCCCCCGAATGACACCAGGCCACCCATGCTCAGCTCTGACTCATCCACATTACAGGAAGACTGAGACCCTAGGCCACTTAACCGGGGCAGACAGCCAAGGCAGCACACACAGGGGTTCCGAGGACCTGCTCGGGAATCAAAACAGCCCTCGGCAAGTTACTTAACCTTGCTAGTCCTCTGAGGTACCATCTCTAAATGGGAACAACACTTATCTGGTCAGTTTCAGTAAGGATGGAAGGAGATCATGCAAAGCACCTGGCACAGTGCCTGACACATAACAGACACCCAGTAAGTGTTGTTACAAATAATAAAAACATCAGCCGAATCCGGTTTGGCTCTGTGATAGAGTGTCCGCCTGCGGACTGAAAGGTCCCAGGTTCGATTCCAGTCAAGGGCATGTACATTGGTTGCGGACACATCCCCGGTAGGGGGTGTGCAAGAGGCAGCTGGTAGATGTTTCTCTCTCATCGACGTTTCTAGCTCTCTATCTGTCTCTCTCTTCCTCTCTGTAAAAAAAAAATCAATAAAATATATTGAAAAACAACAAACACACACACACACACACACACACACACACACACACACACACACAAATAATAAAAATATCATCATTGACCCAGGCAAGGCTGTGGGCAGTTCCAAGATCACAGCCTATTGTGTGCCGCTGTCCATGTCCCTCCGGTCTAGGAGGTTTCAACCCTCCCTCCCTCCCTCCTTTCCTCCCCCCACCCCTCTTTTCCTCCTCCTCCCTTCCTCCTTTTCTTCCTCCCTCCCTTCTTCTCTCCCTCTCTCCCTCCTTCTCTCTCTGCATAATCTACTGCCCCAGGCTAGTCTCCTCTCTCCTTAGGCTATGTGGCCAGTGTGCTATCTACTCCATGCCTCAGTTTTCTATCCATAAAAGGATAATCAAAAGGGACCCTTCATCTAAGGGGCGGAGGGTTGGGAAGAGAGAAAGAATAAACAGTACCTAGTACAGGAGGAGCATGAATAATGTAACATGTTGAAAGAACTTATTACAGTGTTTAGCCAACATTCATTCAATAACTACTAGTTTGGTTGCGATAACATCACCCTTACCAATATATACTCTGCAAAAGAATAGGTGGTCAGTACAGGCCAGCTCCTCTCCCTTCGGCCAGGGTGCAGACATGGTGAGCTCCTCCCCTCCCCCCACAGAACTCCTCACTGGGACTGAAATCCACAGCCAGGACAAGGGGCTCGCTTCTCGGGGGATCCCTTTCCCCCTCTCAGGTGGCAAAGCTGCCTGCCAGGTTCTCATCAGACCAAAAACTCTCTTCCTCTGGCGACCGCTGCTCTAGAGTCAGAACTGGACCCAGACCTGGAACTGTGGCCCTGATCATCTTTCCCGACTGCAGCATTTAGAGTGGTCTGGGTCCGAGTGGGGAAGGTAACTGCCTTCTGGTACAGCCAGCAACAGAAGTCATCTTTCCGAGCCCCCACACCAGGCTCTTCCCATTCTGCATGCTAGACTCTAGGGCGGAGAGAGCTACACACACCACACATACTTGTCTCTCCGGAGCCTGGGAACTACATTTCCATCCCGAGGCTCTGTAGGCTGGGCCTGTCTCCCCCAGCACTGCCAGGAGTCCCATAACCAGGAGTCCAGCCCTGACCACGGACCCAGGTGTCCCCCTGCCCCGGGTCTTGGCTCAAAGCCGCAGCCAGGCCACAAAAGGAGAGGAGTCAGTCTGTGCTGAGGGCTGTATTTAGCAGGGCAGTGGACATTGGTAGTCAGAGGCTAGAGCCGTGTTTGGCAAACCACGGCTCGCGAGCCACATGAGGCTCTTTGGCCCCTTGAGTTTTTAGCAAAGGCCAGCTTAGGAGTACCTTAATTAAGTTTGCTGACCACTGGGCTGGAGAAAAGGCCCTGCTCCGCTTAGGGAGAGAGAACACTGCACCTCACCTTGCTGCAGCTCTGTGTAGCTGATGGAGCCCGAGTGGTCTCGGTCGAACTGCTGGAAGAGGTTCTTCCACTGCTGAATGAACTTCCACAGCGCTGAGAAGCCGTGGACGTCGATGCGGCCTGCCTTGGTCTTATCGAACATATCTTGGGGAGACGAGAAAGAGAGAAGGTAGGCTTCAGGGCTGAGGGCCGAGGGTCCGCAGACAGCCCTTCTCCTCAGGCTGATGGCATAGGAGACTTCCCAGAACCACAGACCCAAGGCCCAGATGCCTCGCCCCAAGACTTGCCTTCATCGAGTGCCACAGCAGCCCCGCCCCTGGCCACCCCTTCCAGAACTGCATTTTCTCCGCAGCCTTGGCAGATGACCCCTCCCTGCCATCTCCCACCAGGGCATGGAGCCCCGTTCTGAAGAATGGGAAATGGAGTCAGCCTGTGACTCAACAGGGCCTGGAACTCGAGAAAAGATCTCGGGGGAAGTGCTCTCAGTCTAGGAGATCTCTCCTTGAACCCAGTTTCCTGTCTGAAATCCCCTCTGGCTAAACAGTTCTTCTGAGAATGGTCACCCACCCACCTACTGTCAGACATCAGGTGGCTCTGGCCCGAACCCGAGCCCATGGGAAGGGCTGGCACTCACTTATCATCATGAGGCATGTCTCGTCATTGAACGTGGACCAGTTGGAGTTGACCAGCGCCTGCTTCAGCTCCTTGACGGAGATGTAGCCACTGTGATCGGAGTCCACTGACTGGAACCAGGAGTACGCCTCAGGATCCACATTGGGAGGGGCGCCGCCTGCAGGAAGGGGTGCAAACCAGGGAGTCCAACCATCTCGAGGCCAATCCACAGAAATGCTGGTAAGAGCCAGTCTAAGTGCCTCCCTGTCTAGCGGTTCTCTCTATCCACAAAGATCTAAGGGGACCTGCTCCTTCTCTTTTCTGGCCCTGCTCACTCCACCGTGTACATGTTTTTAAACCGCCTTCCTGGTTAGACTTGGAGCAACCTCTGGGCAGGAGCCTGACTCATCTCTGCATCCCCAGCGGCTAGCACAGAGGCAGGCACAGCGGGAAAGTGCTCAGTTCGTGCTGAGCTGGCCTCAGTGTAACAGCACTCCAGACCAAAGGCCTTTCCAACCTCCTTCTGTCAACCCAAGACCCCTCAGAGCCTCAGCCTCCAACCCCTATTTTATAGCCCTGGTTATTTAAATTCTGTGTAGCAGTTTTCTTATCTGTAAAATGAGGCCACGGAAGCATTTACCTCGTGAATTATGAAGATATAATTATATGAAAACCCTAAATCAGCGCCTGCTACAATCTAAGCACTATGTGACTGCAGATTATTAGTGCTGTTGTGTCTGCGGGAGCATGTACCGTAGGTAGCTTTGTGTGTCTGTCAGTAGACGGAGGAAAGGGTCACTCACTTGAAAAGACATGTGGAGTGAGCTGGAGAGAAGGGGAAAGGATGAGAAATGAAAGTGGAGAAACACAGAAGACTATCTTAGCAGAGGCCACAGTTACACAGTATCTGGCCACAAAAAAGGCCCCTTCCCACGGGCAGTATCAGCCACAGCCACAGGCCCTAAAGGAGCACAGAAACCACCACCCAGTCCCAGAGACGAGGCCAGGAGGGTTGCTTGACGGACGGACTATCTAGCTTCTCTGAATGGGAAATCAGGCTGCCCCACCACCGTCCTTCCTAAAACAGCAGCTTTGCCATGAAGAGTGAGGGCCACAGCCCACAGAGGGACAGTTTCTGGAACAAGCTTTGCACGGAAGAGCCGGGCTCTGAAAGCAAAGAGCTCTGACCCTTGCTAGTTTGTGCAACTTTACACTAATTGATTCATTTTTTTCAGACCTGCTTCCCAAGGTGGTTGTAATGATGAAATCAGATAACAACAACAACAGAATGTTTTAGCAAAAGGCCTGGAATATGTGCAGTCCCATTTCCATGGAGGAGGAATACTTAGTAAACTGGATCTGAAAGGATGACAGAGCTGTCACAGAGAGAAGAAACACAGAGACACAGAGTATGTTCAGAGTACACTAAGGGGTCTTGGATTGATGGGAGGGAGAAGCAATCCAGGTGAGGAGGCTGGAAAGGCCCTTTGGGTTTGGAGTGCCATCCGGGTATTCCCAGTGGGCGGTGGGGCACCCGTCCTGGTCAACCCTGTCTTACAGAGCAGTGGTGCTCCGACCTCAGATCCTGCATTCAGTGGGGCTGAGGTGGGGCTTCAGGTGGAGTCCCATTCTTTTTTGCAGATGATAAATGGATCGCGCTTTAAAGCACTGCTCCAGGAGGCCACTAGCTGCACTGCAGAGGTGGCAATGGGGGTGGCCGGCTGGGTGAAGAGTTACAGAGAGAGCAGCTAAGAGCCTAAGGCACATCTTTCCTTTCTTCTGCAGCCCCAGAGATTCTCTCTGGCCTCAGGCCCTGGAGGGATAAGCCTCCAATGTAAGGTTTCCCTACAGTGACCTCCTGTAGGCTCAGGGACAAGATTTTGAAAGGATGAGGAAGTCCACCATGCAGCTGCTGAGCTGAAAGCAAGTGGCCAGAAGCTCTGGGCTCTGACAAGATAAATGCCACAGCTCAAGGTTTAGAACCCCATGGTCTGAACATCCCCCTCAGAGCCTCCTGCCTGGGTCCATCTGCTAAGATGCCGCAGCTCCCCAGCAAGCCATTCCCAGGAGGCCTTCAGGTGCACCAGACTGGATCCAGGCTGCCTTGCTGCTGCTTGGTCTCCTGGAAACAGCACATGGTGAAGAGGCTGGCTGAAGGAGTGTGGGAGGAAACCGGGGACTGGGCATTCACTTCCCCTGGCCCCTGAGGCCACTCAGAAATCTTCAGAGCCCGAAACCCTCCCCCAAGATTCTCTGCCTCCACTGAACAGCCAAGCCCCCACTTCCTCCCCATGTTGTCCAGTGCCTCACCTTTAGATCTCTGCTCTTTATCCCGCCCCTAGCTCATCTCACCATGTGCCTGCCTCAGCATCTGTCAGTGGTAAGGCCCTTGCCATATCTGCTAGCACATTAAATGCTGAACAGCTCTTTGCTAAGAATGTCTCAGTACGAATCTTCTCAGAGAATACTGTTTATTAAGCCCTTCTCACATGCCATACACTGCTCATGCTTATTTTATCCTTATTAACAATGTCGAGGGACATTCACCCATTTTACAGATGTAAACACTAAGGCTTAAGGAGGTGAAGTAATCTGGTCAGGTCAGTAGGTTGTCTGATCTCAAAATCCCAAGCTATCAACAACTAAACTACCTTGCCTTTCCACATGTAGTAGTCAGTCTCCCTTACACAGAAATGGGGCTTCTTCCAGTGATAGGCTGTATTATCTCCAATTACCTGCTCACCTATGCCCTGCCCCCACTGTCTCCCCTAAGAGCACTGTCCATCCTCTCCACTGCAGAGCCCCTCCATGAGGAGCATCCACTCCCATCTTATTGGTAAGAGGCTGGACCAGAGAGAACAGGAATGGGAGATGTAAAGTTCTTGAAAGCAGAAACTTTTAAGAGGTATCATGCATTCCTGCTGACTCTCCCGCTCTTTCTTATCTGCAACAAGAACAAATCTCAAATAATGGCTGTTCCTCCAGCCTGGAAAGAAAAGACACATGGGGCAGAATATCAGCAGCCAAACGCACAGCTGCTGACATGTAAGCAAGAGGAAGAACTGTTTGCTGTTGCAGCCAGAGAGACTGGAGTTGTTGTGATCACAGCAAAGCCGACTAAAACACTTCTCTTCCACTGATGCAAGCTGAAGCTAGAAGCAAGATGCCAGGCTGCCCGCACATTACAGGAAGGACAAGGATGGGCCCTGGGTAGCTGAGACCGAGGTCAGAGGCATCTGGAGCCCCAAATCCCTACTTACCCGGAGGAGGTCCCTGTCCATAAGGCCCAGGAGGTGGGCCACCGTAGGAATTTGGAGGTGGCTGACCATAGGGGCCCCCTGGGGCTGCACCACCATAGGGTCCTCCTGGAGCTCCAGAAGGGAAGCCCCCAGGGTTAGGGTATCCGTAAGGCGCTCCAGGGGCTGGACCTCCTCCATAACCGCCACCGGGGGGAACCCCGCTGCCATATTGCCCTCCCGATGCTTGGTCGCCAGTTCCTGAGAGGGCCTGTAAGAAGAGCAAGGTATTAGTCTGAAAATCATTAACAAAAGAAAAAAATCATTATTAAATCATCATCATCATCATCAGAAAAGCCCATGCAGTAAACTCAGGCGGAGATATAAAGGAGAGGGACAAGTTCTGAAGGAGCTCACAGATGACAGGAGAGGCATGGAAATCCTTTCCATAACACCTAACGAACCCGCAAAAGGAAACAGGTGTTTAAAATGGATGCATAAGTCATGTGCCATGGATCACAAATGAGATGGTGAAACCAGGGTTTCCCTAAGAAAGCAGCATTTGAGCTGAGACCCAAAACTGAAAATGATTCCCAAGGAAATTGGAGAGGGATGACGACCCAATTTACTAGTAACCTCTTCAGCCAAAAGAGGGGAAGGGACTTTTCATATCACACTACTAGAGGCCCGGTGCACAAAATCATGCACAGGTAGACCAGCAGGGCGATCGGGGGTCAGGACCCCGCTGGCATCCACCTTGGCCAGCCTGGTGCCACCACTCATCACCCCCCTCCACCCCCATTGCTGCTGCATGTCGATGACCAGCAGGGTGATGGGGGTGAGGGGGCCCGCTGGCACCTGCCTTAGCTGGCCTGGAGCCTGCGGGCTGTGGGAGCTCCTTCGTTGAGAGACTGTCCCCTGGTGGTCAGTGTGCAGTTGTTCCACCATTCAGTCAATTTGCATATTAGGCTTTTATTTATATAGGATGAGTTGAAGGTAGAGGCGGAGCTATAATAGATCACTCACCACCCACACCCAAACCCAAACACTCCCACTGCTCCTGCTACAGCATTTTTTCCTTAAGCAATAGGGAATAGGATTCCAGGGTAGGATAGAAAAAGGAGTGAGGACTGAAAAATCTGGGCACACCCAAAGAACAGGCTGGACACCAAGCCAGGAAGTAGCTCTCCACAATGAGCCCTGTGAACAAAGCCATAAACTGCCTCTGGCATAAGGCACCCTCGGCAATGCCCCAAGGCCAACAAAGCAGGGGCTGCCAGACAGATCTTCTGGCCTTCCCTACCACATTCTAGGGGCCTGGTGCAGCCTGGCAGCAACCAAACCCTTTCCTTCCCGCCCTGCATTAAAGCCCTCACGGGTAGTTTACAAAGCACTTTCACATACGCACAATTGCTCCTGGCAGAATCCTGTCAACAATCCTTGCTGCGCCCTGCACAGCGGGTTCAGGAGGGACTGCAGGAGGACCAGTGCACAAAGACACTACTCAAGAAACAAGTTTTAAGCACGGGGCCAGGTGGAACCTCTTTTGGGGAGGAACCACAAGTCCTAGTCTTGCCTGTTGTTATTCAGCTTGGTCATACACTGCTTTTAGTAAAGCATGTAGGCAGAGCACATAGTAAGCATAATATTAAAGGTCGATAGAAGTCAGTAACATTTACTCAAAGATTTTCAGGTAAGGGAATGCTTCCACACACCGCAACCTCAGCAAGAGCAATCTGCTGCCATCGGCCCTGCTGACGGCCAAGGTTTATAGCCTTCCAATTCCTTGTTGCACTTTCATGCCCCTGCTGCTAGGCAGTGGGCATCTCCCCCTTTTTGTTTTAATAAATCTTAAAAATCTGTCTGTAGGACTTGAGTCTTTTTAAAACTTCATTTGTATTTTGCAGACTAAAACTAAACAAACCCAAGAATAAGAAAGTTAATAGTGGTCATGCTAAAAGGTAAATGTAGAGCGATCCAATGAAAAGAACTGATTTTTTCCATATCCTTTTTAAATTGTTGTTAGGCATCTAAGGAACTAGTTTTGTAAGTTTGCGTGGGATAATTGTGCAATATGTTGTTGTAATTTTAAAATATTAAAGGTTGTGTTACCTTTACCCTAAGTATCAAGAAGGTGATTTTTTTACTGATTCCCAAGGATCTAAAATGCTGTTATAGGGAATGGGAGTCACACAAATCTAGGAAAAATGATGATGACACTGTAGGGACATTCTTTTCTGATAGCTGTAGATTTTATCACTCATTCATAGAACTATAGATTTTAATGCCAATAATTCTATTTCAAATTGACTGTCAATTCTTTTTTGTATGGATAAGGTCTTACATTTTTCTTCATTTGTTGTACAAACTGAAAAGTTTGAACAGTTTGTACCATGGATGAAGCAACAATTCTCACAGAAGTAACAATACTAGAGCAAAGAGTCCTGCAATTAACATTCCAAGGAATTTTTTTTTTTTTTTGTCATTTTAAGATTTTTACTATGTCATGTAATAGTGGTAGGTTTGATGAGATTCCCAAGGCTCAGTTAGGTGAGTAGGAACCCAAGCGAAAACAGGTTGTCTTAATATCACAAAGGAATCCTTTCAATAGGTAGAATTAACACAATGGGACAGTGTGCAGCCTGTGTATGATACCTTATACAGTTGACTAGTATTAAGTCATATCTGGATGGGGCCCGAGAGGAGTACAAAAAGATCAAATACACAGGCGGTGGCAAGTACTGTCTTATTGGGAGTTCCCCATAGGATATAAGTATGAGTAGAGTTATTTAAGCTATAGTGATAACTATACTATTCTATAGGTGGAAGTGCAGTAGCTCATTTCCATTGTGTTTTGTAGAGGCCAATGATCATGTTGTAATTGAGATCCAACAAATCCTCCTCCATGCCAGTTATTAGATTCAATATGCAGGTAGGATGCAGTCCTTCTCCATTTTAAGGTGTGATTGCTACTATATGCAGATTCATGGGGGCACCAATTCACAAAAGAAAATTATTGTTTTCAGAACTTGCCCCTATATAAGATTGTTGTTAGTGGAGTAGGCACTATAACAGTCTTGCCAATTAATTTCTTCCCCTGTGGGATACCATTTATAAAATTTTTTACATAATGGCTTGGGGGGGACATCTTATTAATGATACATTTTCTGTACCTCTCCCAGGAGCACCCAGGGAGAGTAGATGTGAGCTTTTGCGGGGCCCACCCCCACCCCCACTTCCTTTGGTGTCCATGCTAACCGAAGACCTCTCTTTAATTCTACACACAAAGGTGCAGTAGTTTGATTCTTTGTCATACAAAAGGGAAGATGTGTAGTGACACCTGTATAATTATAGTTTGCTCAGATACTTCCTTGTCCTACCTGTGGTCCCCCTAGGGATGAACAAGGTGCTTGGTATTATTGGAGACTATACAAGGTGGGGGATCAGCCCAGGTAAGGGGTCTCACCCATGGAGGGTCAGGAACATAAGTATAATACACTTCCCCATGTGCCCTTAGTAGTATTACCGCACAACTGACGACTGCTAGCTTGGCAAGGAAAACATTCTCAGGTGTTCTCGGGATTCTTGTGTCCTCACGAACTTTCTCAGCTTTATGAATTGTCTTCTTCACCATCCCCATGTCATGTCCACACTCTCTCTTGTCTGCCTCGTTCGCATCCTACTCCTTATCTTCCTCACATTACTTGGGGCTAATGCTTCCTGAGGACAGAGTGGTTGATTGTCTGTGGCCACAGGTACAGGTTGAGGTGGTACAGGTTGAGGGGATATAGGTTGAGGGGGTACAGGTTGAGAGGGTACAAGTTGAGGGGGTACAGTTGAGAGGGAACAGATTTGAGGTTCCCGGTGCATGGTTTTCAATAGTTTGGTCAGTTTCTTCTGTGGATCCATGTTGAAGTTTGATGTTCCTTGCAAGAATCCACTAAGGCGTGGAGTAATTTCCTGGAAATACACAAGCATATTCTCGACCAAATGTTAACAAAGGGTCAGGACCCTTTTATAAATCAGACTCAGGATCCTTCCACCTGACCACACCTTTTTCCTTTGGCTCATCACAACACCAGTTCAGCTTCATTGGTGTCTTACCATCAATGTTACAAGTGAAAAAATTTAAGGTAATTAAGGCTTGATGAAGTCTACCTATGAGAGATTTCTCTAGTATTTCCCTTTTTTGTTTTCCAAGTTGGGATTTTAGCCACTGATGTTGGTGTTCTACAACTGCCTGTTCTTGGGAGTTGCCTGGTATTTCTGTTATGTGTTGAATTTTTCATTTTGCATAAAATTGCTGGAAATGACAGCTTGTGTATGCAGGTCCATTGTCAGTTTTAATAATTTTTGGAATTCACATGGTAGCAAAAGCAATTAGGCAATGATTAATGATTTGTTTTGCCATTTTCCCTGTAGATGGGATGGCCCAAAGGACCTTTGAAAAGGTTTCTACAGAGATATGCAATGCCCCAAGATGTCCAAAAGGAGTATAATGCATTTTTGCCAGATATGGTCCCTTTTCAATTCCCGAGGGTTAATTTCTGTATTAGGCCCTTGAGGCAGATGTAACATACAAGTGGGACATTCTTTGATAATTTGTTTAGCCTGCTGTGACTGAGAATTATTTAGATAATATTTTGGCAGGCTGATGTAAAAGCTGATGAGATTCTGTGGCATGCTGTAATGAAACGACTAACTGATTGACATATGCATTTTGTTTTGTTAACTGTCCAGGCAGGGTTGTATAAGGCCTCATAGCCTATATAATAATCCTATATAATAAAAGGGTAATATGCAGGAGGGATCCAAGATGGCTGACAGGTAAACAACTAGCCGCAGCAGCTGCACACAACAATTTCAATAAAATACAACTAAAATATAAAACGGACATTACCCAGAACTCCAGGAAAGTTGACTGACTGGAAATCCTACAGCAAGAAGCAAGGAGAAAACCAGAAGGAAGCGTGGAGGAGCTGGAAAAGCCCAAGGTACGGAGACACGTGGCGCGCGGAGAGGACGGAGCCGGAGAGTAGGGCGGCCGAGTGCCTGGCGGGCGTTCCCTAGCGGGAAGGAGATAAAACTCCGACTGTGCTGGGCCCCTGACTGCTCTGAACCCCAGTTCTAGGCCAGACCCCGGGGACTCAGGCTCAGCCATAGGGAGCCGGGCTGTAAGGCGGAACCCGGGGAAGCGGCGAAAAGAGGTCCCGGAGGCGTGCACACTGCACGCAGAGAAGGGACGGTTGGCTGTGCCGCGGGATTGCCCTG